CCCCGGTGGCACTGGGTGATGAACAGACGCCCCGGGATGCTGTACTGTGGGTACCCCGGTGGCACTGGGTGATGAACAGATGCCCCGGGATGCTGTACTGTGGGTACCCCGGTGGCACTGGGTGATGAACAGACGCCCCGGGATGCTGTACTGTGGGTACCCCGGTGGCACTGGGTGATGAACAATGTTCTGGTGGTACCCCTGTGACACTGGATGAGGGACGCTCTGTCGCACTGTGCTAGGGGTACCCTGGTGGCACAGGGCAAGGGACACCCTGGGACATGGAGTACGGGCACCCCAGTGGCACTGGCTCCAGTTAGAGCTGTCCTCATGCCAATGCCCTGTCACAGACCCCTGGGGCCTGAGGGACCCTGCTTGCTGGCACTGGCTTGGGGACACCTCAAGGGCTGGCATGGCCCTTGGGAACGCCAATGGGCTGGCACTGAAGTGTAGGGGACATTCAGGGGACCTCAGGCTGTGATAGCACTGAGGGACATGTTTGGCTGGCATTGCCCGCTTGGGGAAAATCCTCCAGGAGAGAAGTGAGCAGAGCCCCTGACTTTCCCATCCAGCTGCTGGTGGGGCAGGAGGGCCAGATCTCTGTGCTGACTTCTTGGCACCTACCTTCCTTCTGTCTTGCACCTTGGTGCCACTGTCCCTGGCGCCCACAAGGACACCTGGCACATGCACTGCCCACGGAGTGGCGTTTTAGAGTGACACAGGGCATACAGGCAGCTCGCTACCCTTCTTCATCTTTCTGCTCTAAATAAACTGTATTCCACAGGCAAAAAAAATGCAAACCCTTCAAATCCCAGCTCCTCCAAAAATAACCTGTACTTTAATAACGGTCATAAATGCTTCTGGCACATTCCCAGCTGCAGGGTGGGCTGTGGGTCAGGGGGGCTGGAGGGAGCTGGTGGAGGGGCCATGGGAGCCGTGTGGCACGTGTGGAAGGCTGTGATGGGATGAGGACAGGAGGGGTGCACAGGCTCCCCCAGCCCATTGCTCCTGGGCTGCAGCCAGCCCTTGATCGACGCAACTTCTCGGCACCAGTGCCCCAAGAAGAGAGGAACAAAAAGTTTTTGACAGCTGGAGAAAGTGCCTTTTAGGAGCCCTCAGGCCCGGATGGTGGAGGGCATAGGAGGGGTGGGAGTAGTTAAGGACCAGCAGGCTGCTGGCTCCATGGGGAAAGCAGAAGAGCCACTGCTGGACTCTGGAGAGCAGCTATTAGTACTGATGAATTAGGCACATATTTGGACAAGGAGAGTCTCTAACTGCCAGTGTATGGCTTCTGAGGGGAGGGGGAAGATTCATCTCCCGTCATTCCTGTAAGATAATAATTATTTTTCTGCAAGATGTTGCAGCCTGGAGCAACTTAATGGGTTTCAGCAACCTCATGTGCTCAGTGCATGGGGCAAAGATAATGATGGGCATGGTGCAAGCAGCAAGGAAATTTCCCTGCAGCCAGGCCAGCCCTCAGACATTCCCCCAAAGGATGATGTTCTCCCTCTCTGGTCCCTCCTCTTTGCTCCAGGCTTCATAGCCATGTCCATAGACACTGCTGGAATCACCCAGGAGCCGAGGTCCATGACTCTGCCCTTAAGCCCGTCCTCTGTGGTAACCTGTGGGACAAGGGGGTGCGGAGAGGTGTGGGTGCACATCCCTCCCGTTGCTGCCCCATGCCCAGGCATGTCCTAAGGAGGCCTAAGGTCCCCAAGGACGGCAATCCCCTCCATATTTCATGCTAGGGTCAGACCTTACTCCCAAGGAAAGGCTTGTCCTAACTAACAGGACCTTTCCAGGTGCAAGCTGTGCTGGAGTTTATCACTCCATCCCTGGGCTCCCCAAGAAGCTGGGACATGGTTTTCCCACTAACCTCCAACTTAGCTGAATTTGGATCCCTGCAGAGGCCTGGGACCTTATGACTGTGTCATCCCAGCTCCAAACCTCTGTATGTGCTTTCCTGAACCTGCCTGCCAAAATAACCCTTCGGTCAGTGTGTGAGATTGAGGGGTGATTGGTTAATCACACCCCCATGTGCCTCCCCTGGTGTTTATGCCACCACCTCTTGCTGTGCCCAAGCTGGGGGACAGAGTGGATATGCTAGCAGCCCTGTGCAGGGCCTGCTGGATCTCCCTTGCCCCCAGGAGGCCAGAGCTGCTGCCACGCTGTGCCCGCTCACTGTCCTTGCAGGACACTCCAAAGGGCCCCATGTCCAAGCCGGTACCTGGGTGAGCGCCTGGTGCCGGGTCAGGCCAGCGCAGATTGTCAGGGGACAGCTGGGAGGACTGGGATGCCTGTGAGAGCCACAAATCCACCCTGGAGCCTTGCCAGGGGTAAGTGTCTTAGGAGAAACAGCCCCTCCACACCCCCAGGGACATGACCACAAGGGGACAGGGGTTGCTGTCTGGGATACTGCAGGATGCTGCCCTTACCACTGGTGTTTGTAGCTCACTACCAGGAACAGCCCCAGAGGCAAAGGACACATGCCAACCTGCCCATACCCCTGTTGTACCCTGCAATGTCCCTGTTGCACCCCACATCACCCTGCCTGTCCTGCCACTGTTTAGGCCCCCCAAATCCCCGCTGAGTGACAGGGTGGGAACAGGTGGGGACACGCTGGGGCAGCTGCTGCCCGCACAGGTTGGCTCTGGGGGGCTATTTTGGGGCGTGAGATCAATGCTGGCAGCCGGGAAGGCTCCGGCCACATTCCCAGACCCACACCACACCAGACTGTTGCTTCCCCACTCATGGGCCACCAGTGACTATGGGATGGGAGGTCCCCCACCTGCACCTCTACTGCACCCCACCCAGGAGTGTATCTGGCTGGTAGCAGGAATGGGGCCAGGAGCTGAGCTTCACACACAAATACCCCACCCCGCCTTCCCTGAAGCCCAAATCCCCCAGAAACAAAATCACCAAGATCCCCTCCTGCAGTGGTGGCCCCCCAGCAGCACCTGCGAGGCCAGCACATGGCTGGCAGCGGGGGTCCGGCCTGCCGGGTGCCTGGGGCTGGACGTGCCTCAAATATTTTCCATGCTGTATAAGCACCCGTGGTACACTCCCCCCTCCCTTTGCTGGGAGGGAAGGCGCGCAGGCCCCCTGCCCTCCCCGTCTCCTGGAGAGGCCCGTTGATACCCAGTTGGCAAGAAAGCAGGAAAACCAGATTTTATTGATGAATGCGTCTTTCTGAGGAGACACTGGCATCCCCCACCCCACCCCGGAGGCTTGGGGGGGAGCTGGTTTCCTTCAATCTTTAATATGGGATGCTTAAAGTATCAAAATGGTGAGAGAAGCCTCAGCGAGTGCAAAGGGGAAGGGACGGGGGTCCTGGAGCCGAGGAGGGGTGGGATGCTGGGCTACGGGACCCCGGCGAGAGCTGGGTGTTAGTGGGCAGGGCATGAGCTGGCAGGGAAATAAATGAACTTTGAAAGCTGCAGGCTCAATACTAGAGAAATGGAAAAGTTACAAAAATACTGCAGATCTTGGAAAACAATACAGGCACTTGGGAAGAAGAAGGAAGGCAGAGCTGGCTGGGGCCGCAGTCGGGGGGATGCCCTGCAGGAAGGCAAAAAACAGCTCTGGGAGTGAACACGTCACATCATCCCCCATCCTGAGTGGAGGCACTGTGGCTTCCAGCCCTGCTGCTCCCCAGAGGGGCCTGGGCTGAAGAAGATACTCATGGGGTGCACTTAGGGCCTTCCAGGGCAGAGGAAGATTCAGCCAGCAATAAGGCATTGGAGGTGAAAGGCAGCTCCATGCGAGAGCTCAGCGAGGGGCGGCTGCTCCCTGCAGGAGCAGGCAAGCCACCCGCCTGTCCCCATCCCGCGTGGAGGAGAGAGAAAAAAGGGGCACGAGGGGAAAGAAAGAAGGCACAAGTAAATATCCCCTTGCAGTGGAGAGCTCCTGTGGGCCCGCACCCCGGGGCTGGCGGGTGAGCCCTGAGCCAGTGCAGCCCCGGCTCCCACCTCAACCGAGTCCCTCCGAGCGCTCTGATTGTGCCTTGGGTGTGCATGGGAAGGTGGGCTGGGCAGCAAAGCGGAGTCGCTGGTGCAGCACCGGCTTGGAGGGGCAGCTGAGTTAGTCCCGTCGCTCTGGGTGCGGGCAGAGCTCTGGTCTAGCCCAGACAGCCCTTCGCTTGTGGCGGGTCGTCTTAAATAGGAGCAGGCAGGTGGGCAGGCGGGCAGGCAGCAGTCTGTGCGGAGAGCGGAGGGCGTGCGCCTCAGTTCTGCTCCTCGTCCCGCAGCTCCGAGGGCAGGAACTTGTACTGCTGCTGCCGGATCATCGCCAGCTTCTTCCGCGCTTCCTCCAGCTCCCGCTCCTTGCGCAGCATCTCCTCCTGGGCGGCGATAATCTGCCAGGAGAGAGCCCCGGGGTCACAGCTGCCTCCCTCAGAGGTGGCCAGAGACTCCAGCACAGCAATGTCAACCCCAGAGCTGGGTTCTGGCTGCTGCTTCCCTCCCATCACAGCCACTGCCTCACTGGGCATGAGGGCTGTCTGTCCCTGGGATGGGAGGATGGTACTCTGGACATTAAGCAGAACAGCACAGCTTCTGGGCTCAGCCCCATGTGTTGTGTAGAGGGTCTCAGCTGCACGGAGCCAGCACTGGGACTGTGGCACCCCACACTAGGTAGATCTTGCCCTCTACCCACTGCTTTGCTTTTACCATGATGCTGGGATACTGTGGGCTCTGCACCAAGGAGAAGCCAGGGCTCTACACTCCTGGGAGCACACACCATTACCTACGGCCCCCTGTGGCGGGATAAGGTGAGGTCTCATTGTTCAACTGGTTTGCAGTGGGATAGATAACTCACACCATTTTTGTGAGACTCTCTCATGACATGACCTGTGCTGCTGGGTGGTAGGACATGCTTCTGAGATGGTTGTGATGGCACCTAGAGCTGTTCCTGCCCTGTTGGAGTAGCCTCACTCCTCACCTGTGCAATTC